GAACAAAAAACAGGCTGCTTTAGGGCCGGGCAGCAGTGGGTCATGCCTGTAATCCTATGCACTCTGGTAGGGCCAAGGCACGGCGATCGCTCAAGGTCAGGAGTTCGAAACCAGCCTGAGCACACAGTGAGAACCTGTCTCTACTAAAATATAAAGAATTAATCTGGCCAACTAAAAAGTATGCCATTAGAAAAAATTAGCGCGGTATGGTGGCCGCATGCCTGCTTCAGTCCAGCTAACTGCAGGGAGCTGAGGCAGAAGGATTGCTTGAGCGGCCCAAACCACCACCCCTACAAGCATGGAAATAAAGGAAAATATTGAATCGTTTTTGGGGGAGAGGAGAAAAATAAACATTTTTGAGGAAGTAATGGCTGAAAATTTTCTAACTTGATGAAAATTATAAACCCTTGGATCCCAGAAACTCAACCACAAGAAATATAAAGAAAACTACACCAATACACATTATAAGGAAATTGTTTAAAACCAATGATAAAAAGAAGATAAAGTAGCCAGGGAAAAAAGAAACATTATATTTAGAGGAACAAAGATAAAAATGACAACAAACTTCTCAAAGGAGACCATGCAAGCCATAAGAGAATGGAGAAGTATTTTTAAAGTACTGAAATCAAGTAACTGTCAACCTACAATTCTATGCCCAGTAAAAACATTCTTCAAAAATGAAGGTGACACAAAAGAACCGAAAACGGGTACTCACATACCTTTTGTGTACACAAATGTTCATAGTGACACTATTTGCAATAGCCAAAATGTGGAAACAGCTTAAATGTCCATCAGTGAAAGAATGGATAAAGAAATTGTGGCATATACATACAATGAGATATTATTCAGTCAAAAGAGGAATGAAATTCTGATATATACTATACAACATGGATGAACCTCAAAGACATGCTAAGAGAAACCAGTCACAAAGGTTATATATTAGATAAAATCATAAGACAGAATGCAGATTGGTGATTACCAGGGGCTGGGGAGATGGCAGGGAAGGATGAAGAGAAACTCCCTTAATGGGTACAGGGTTTTATTTTGGAGTCATAGAAATGTTTCAGAACTAGGTAGAGATGGTGGTTGTACAACATCGTAAATGGACTAAATTCCACTGAATCATTCACTTGAAAATGATTAATTTTGTGTGATATGAATTTTACCTCAAACTTTTTTAAAAGTGAAATAAGGACTTTTTCAGATATAGAAAAGCTAAGAAAATTCATCACCAGCAGACTTACAGCACAAGAATGTTAAATAAAGTTCTTCAGGAAGAAGGAAAATCGTACCAGATGGAAACCCAAATCTACATAAAGGAATGAAGAGCATTGAGAATGGTAAATATGTGAGTAAATATAAATTTTTTTTCTTATTTTCTAGCTCTCTCTCAAAGATGGTAGACTGTTTAAAAGAATAGTAATAATATATTAGAGTTTTGTAACATATGTAGAAGTAAAATGTATGGAAATAGTGCAAAGGCCAGGAAAAGGGTAATGGAAGTATACTGTCTTAAGATTATTATAATATATATATAAAGTAATATGTCTATGTAAAATAACAAAGACTATAATTACTCCATATGGGAGACAAGATAAAATCATATAAGATAATCAGTTAAACCAAAAAAGGCAGAAACAGAGAACAAAGGGGAAAAAGAACAGAGGGGATAAATAGAAATCAACAAATGTTATATTTAAATGTAGCCAGATCAATAATATGAATATGAATTCAAGGCTGGGCATGGTGACTACGCCTGTAAGCCTAGCACTCTGGGAGGCCAAAATGGAAGGATTGCTTGACCTCAGGAGTTTGAGACCAGTCTAAGCAAGAGCAAGACCCCATCACTACAAAAAAAAAAATAGGAAAAATTCAACCAGGCACCATGTGTTCATGGCCTTAATCCTAACACTTTGGGGAGGCAAGGTGGGAGTCACTTGAGCTCCAGGATTGGAGGACCAGCCTGGAACATAGTAGACATCATCTGTTACAAAAAATTTTTTTAATTAGCAGGCATGGTGGTGGGCCCCCTGTAAGTCTCAGTACTCAGGAGCTGAGGGCAGGAGGATCACTTGAGCTCAGCAGTATTGAGAGCTGCAGCTGAGCATGAAGAGCGACTCGGGACCTGAGTGACAGAGCTGAGATTCTGGTCTCAAAAAAAAAAAACAAAGTAGTAATAGGCGGTGCGGGTGGGCTCATCCTGTAATCCTGCACTCTGGAGGCCAGAAGTGGCGATTGCTCGAGGGTCAGGGAGGTTAAAATCAGCCTGAACAGAGCGAGACCCCGCCTCTCTACATAAATAGAAAGAAATTCATTGGCACTAATATATATACAGAAAAATCCGGCATTGGTGGGCTGCCTGTAGTCCCAGCTACTCAGGGAGGCTGAGGAGCAGGGATTGCTTGAGCCCAGGAGTCTGGGAGGTTGCTGTGAGCGGTAGGCTGACGCCACGGCACTCACTCTAGCTTGGGCAACAAAGTGAGACTCTGTCTCAAAAGTAATAATAATAATATTCTATCAGACAGGAATTTACAAATGAAACAGCAGAAGCTTGACTTTATTCACTCAAACTAAAATATTCAAATAAATTATTATCATAAAAACTACTGTTCATTGAGGGCCTCCTATATGGCAGGAACTGTGCTTATATTTTACATATTATTTAATTTAAAGTTCAAAAGAACTCTGTAAGAATAGTATGTATCAATCATTACTCTCTCAATTTACATATAAAGGACTGAGATTTAGGGAGTTAAGTAATTGCCCAAGGATGGACAAATAGTAAATGGTAGAAGCTGTTCAAACACAGATTCACATTATTCCAAAGTTTGTACATTTAACCATTATTCTATGCTGTCTCCTGAAATTGAAGAGAGAGATTTCTGGTTAAAGATGGTCACTGATTCCAAGTTATTTATTAAGCATCTGCTTTGGGCCTAGTCCTGATGTAAGTGCGAAGGATACATAAGTGACTAATCCATGCTTTCCAAGGGTTCATAAAGTATTGCAGGAAACATTTGTAAGTAAATAATTAACAACAATATGAAAGCACAACTTGTTAAAAATAAGCTTAGGCACATTAAAATTTTAAAAAATGTATTTGAGCAGACAACGATTCATTCATGAATTGGGCAGCTCCAGACCACAAGTGGTTCAGCATTCCACAAGCGGATAGGGGTGACAAGAGGAAAATTTTTAAAAACTTTTTTCACCGAGCAGTGTTTTGAAGATCTATCCAGGTGGACATCTAACCCATTACTTCTCATTGCTGCCTAAGGACAGTTTTGTTTCAACTCTCCTGCAGGCCCAGAGGAGCCATTGCAGGCCATGGAGCAGGCTGAGCAGGATGGACCGGGTGGCAGAGGCTGTTATTTAGATGCAGGTGGTTGCTGCCACATGGCAATGTAGGACATGGTGCAAGATGATCAAATTCCTCAACAGAGGCCAGAAATCAAGATTGTTTTATGAAATCTCTTGATTTTTAAATGTTGGGAAAACTGAAGGCCAAACACAATACTTGAGCGGGCCGAATTTAGCCATTTCCTGACATTCACATTAAAACATTTGAATCACGGATAATGTATAAGTTACAATGTTGACAATACTTTAAATATATTTAAAATATGATTTTATATATTAGTTATTTCATTTAATAAAACATAGTGAAATTCTTATAATTTTGTACATGTGAAGTTCTATGCCTACACACTTGGAGGTTTTCTTTTATAGTGGTTAGACTATGTTTTGGTGTGAAACTACTTAGGTTAAAATCCCTGAATTATTGGCTATAGGATAGCCTTGGATAAGTTAGTTAACCTATCTTTGCTTTGGTTTTATCATCTGTAAAATAAAAGCTCTGTCAAAAGCTGACTCCCCATGATAATGGCATAAAGATAGATTTATAGACCAATGGAGTAAAATAGAAAGTCTAGAAATAAACCTTTGCATATAAGATCAAATGATTTTTAGCAAGTGTGCCAAGACCATTCTATGGAGAAAGGACAGTATTTTCAACAAATGGTGCTGGGAAAACTGAGTATCCACACACAAAAGAATGAAGTTGGACCTTTATACCATATTTAAAAATTAACTCAAAGTGAATCAAAGATCTAAATGTAAGAGTTAAAACTATAAAACTCTAAGAATAAAACAAAGTAATAAACTTCATGACATTGAATTCTATAATAATTTCTTGGATAGAACACTGAAAGCACAGGCAACAAAAGAAAAAATAGATTGGTCAGGCACAGAGGCGCATGCCTATAATCCTAGCACTTTGGGAGGCTGAGGCAGAAGGATTGCTCGAGTCCAGGAATTTAAGGTTGCAGTGAGCTATGATGATGCCACTGCATCTAGCTTAGGCAACAGAGTGAGATCCTATCTCAAAAAAAAAAAAAAAAGAAAAGAAAAAAATTGGGCTACATCAAAATTAAAAGCTTCTTGTGCATCAAAAGATACTATCAACAGAGTGAAAATGCAACCTATGAAATGGGAGAAATTATTAGCAAATCATGTATCTGATAAGGAGTTAATATCCAGAATATATAAAGAATTCTCACAACTCAACAAAAAAACAAACAACCTGAGTAAAAAATGGGCAAAGGACTTGAACAGACATTTCTCCACTAATGGCCAATAAACACATGAAAAGATGCTCAACATTACTAATTATTAGAGAAATGCAAATCAAAACCACAATGAGATACCACTTCACTCCCATTAGAATGGGTATTAACAACAACAAAAAATCCAAAACCAAAACCAAAACTGAAAATAACAAGCACTGGTAAGGATATAGAGAAAGTGGAACCCTCACACGTTGCTGGTGGGAATATGAAATAAAGCAGCAACTACAGAAAACAACATGTCAGTTCCTCAAAAAATTAAACACAGAATTACCATATGATCCAGAAATTCCACTTATAGGTATATACCCAAATGAAGTGAAAGCAGGAACAACAGATATTTGTATACCAATGTTTATAGTAGCAGCATTATTCACAACAGCCAAAATGTGGAAACAACCCAAATGGCCATTGATGCATGAACAGAGAAACAAAATGTGGTATATACATACTATAGAATATAATCAAAATAATTAAAGTCTGTAGAAAAACAGTTTTTCCCCTGCTGTCATATCACAGCAATCAATAGGGAAGACTTCTGTGACCTCTGGTCACCAAGAAGTGTGTGGCATTTCTCCCCACCACCAACCAATCAATGCAGCAGAGTCTTCAGCTGATGTCAACTGGGTCTCCTCTAATTCAATTCAATTCTGATTCTGTCTCCCTGGATAGGCATCAGATCCCACAGGATGGGGGCTCAGCCCCACAAGACTGCTCCCCCTTCTGGTGCCAAGCATAAGGCTCACATTGTTTTTCCTGTACTTTTGACTAACTGGCTATAAATTGGGGTTCCCACAACCCCCTCCTTGGGTTTGATTAATTTGCTAGAGTGGCTCATAGAACTCAGGGAAACACATATGTTTCCTGGCTTATTAGGAAGGATATTATTAATACAAAGGATACAGATGAAGAGATGCACAAGGCAAGGCATGTGGGAAGGGACGTGGAGTGGCCATGCCCTTTCTGGGCATGCCACCCTCTAGGAACCTCCACATGCTCAGCTATCCAGAAGCTCCCTGAACCCAGTCCTTTTGGGTTTTTAATGGAAGCTTCATTATGTAGGCGCGATTGATTAACTCATTGGCCACTGGTGATCAGCTTAACTTTCAGTCCCTCTCCCCTCCCTTGAGGTTGGGGGGTAGGGTTAAAGTCCCAACCATTTAATTATGCCTTAGTTTTTGTGGTGACTAGCTCCCATTCTGAAGCTACCCTAGGGACCTCAGCCACTGGTCAACTCAATGTACAAAAAGATAGCACTTTGGAAGGCCGGGCATGGTGGCTCACGCCTGTAATACCAGCACTCTGGGAGGCCGAGTCAGGCGCATAGCTTGAGCCCGGGAGTTCGAAACCAGCCTGAACAAGAGTGAGACCCTGTCTCTACTAAAAATAGAAAGCAAATAATTGGCCAACTAAAAAAAATATATATATATATGGAAAAAATTAGCCGGGCATGGTGGCGCGTGCCTGTAGTCCCAGCTTCTCAGGAGGCTGAGGCAGGAGGATCACTTGAGCCCAGGAGTTTGAGGTTGCTGTGAGCTAGGCTGATGCCACAGCACTCTAGCCAGGCAACAGATTGAGACTCTGTCCCCTCCCCCCAAAAAAGGTAGCACTTTGGAGATTCTTAAGGGTTTTAGGAGTTGTAAAATGGGGGAGATGGTGATGAAGACCAAATGTATATTTCATAGTATTATGTAAAACCTCAAAGGAATCAAAGAAAAGGAAATTCTGATCCATGCTGCCATGTGAATAAACCTTGAAAACATTATGCTAAGTGAAAGAAGGCAGACACAAAGGACAAATATTGTATGACTTCTCGTATATGAGGTACCTGGAACAGTCAAATTCATAGAGACACAAAGTAGCATGGTGATGTCCTGGGGCTGCAGTGAGGGGTCATGGGGTGGTGTTATTGTTTAATAGGTACAGACTTTCAGTTGAGGATGACCAGAAACTTCTACAGATGGATAGTGGTCCTGGTTGTACAGCAATGTGAATGTATTTAATGCCATTGAACTATGCACTTTACAATGGTAAAATATTATATATTTTACCATAGTTAAAAAAAAAAAACACTCTCCAAACCTTACCAGCCCAATCTAGTGACAGGGCAAAGCTGAGTTTATTATTTACCATGGTAAAGGAGAACACCACCTGAACAGAGCTGTGGCAGTTCTCAGAGGGGAAAGACAAAGTCAAAATGTCAAAATTTACTGAGAATTGGAAGTTTGGTTTAACATGTCTTTTTTCAATACAGGGAATTTGATTAGGATTGAGTAGGAATTACAACACAACTGTAAGAGTCAGGGGAATGTCTCACTCTCCCAATGAAGGTTCAAATCTGCTGAAATGAACTAACTATATAGTAACAGGAGAAAAGGCACACACATTTATTAACATGCATTAGCATGGGAGCCATACAAAATAGGAGACTCAAAGAAGGGCCAGATTGTTGAGGCTTAATACCCTCTTCATAGGGGAGATTGAAATGGGGGGAGACCTAGGCCATTTTGAGGGGTAGCAAATGATTTTCAAGGGAACTGAATGAGCCCAAAGAACATGTAATGGCTTGGGCAAAGTTCCTCTGAGCTCTCAGGGAGGTGGGGAGAAATTCTGGGAAGGTGAGGGGCAGAACTGACTATGAACAAAGGTTGTCTTATTACACAGATAATAGTCTCCCAGGTGACCCCTTGGCGCTTCTCTCAGAAGAATAGAGGAAAAGTCTGTCTGGGCATGGTGTTCAGTTTTAATCTCTTCTCTTTGTCAGCGGTTAATCTTTCTTGATTTTTTTAATGAGATTCCTAGGGTGGGGGTATTAAAACAATTGCATTTCTTTTAGAAACAAGTTTCCTTAGTCCAAGAAGGAAGTTTCAAAGAGTCCTTCCCTGTACTTGGGGGTGGGGGAACAAGAGAAAGTTAGAAAGTCTTTGGTTCTGGGACAGCTGCTAAGGCCTTCCAATGTCTTTTAATTCAAAAATGCTCAGTATGCCAAAGCACCCTACTTTAGGATATTGTTTTCTGAGCCCCAAAACGACCATCTAGGATTGGTAGAAATGGCGAAGATTTTGAAAAGAGGAATTTAAAGAATCTTTTTTTTTTTTTTATCTCATTTAACATAAAACTGTATGTTGAAATAAGCAGTTTTAGAAAACAAGAGTATATCAACTGTCAGGGCATTCCACCAAAACCCACCTGTTTTGCTTATCCCACTCCTAAACTGAGCAGCTACTAATACCCATAGCTGATGAGGTGATTTGGTCTCATACTTCTGATTGGTTGACTACCATGTAAATGAAGTAACTTTGGGGACATACTTCTGATTGGCTGACTACTATGTAAATGAAGTAACTTTGGGAACATACTTCTGATTGGCTGACTACTATGTAAATGAAGTAACTTTGGGGACATACTTCTGATTGGCTGACTACTATGTAAATGAAGTAACTTTGGGGACATACTTCTGATTGGCTGACTACTATGTAAATGAAGTAACTTTGGGGACATACTTCTGATTGGCTGACCACTATGTAAATGAAGTAACTTTTGGGACATACTTCTGATTGGCTGACTACCATGTAAATGAGGTGACTTTTGTGAAAACTTGCCATTGGCTAACTGTAACCCCAAAAAAAGTATAAAACTAAAAGAAAACGAAAAAGGGGCGCTCAGAGTTTGGTGGCAGATATGCCTCTCTGAGCCCACCGGTGAAATAAAGCTGACTCTCCAACTCCCCGTGTGCCGCTCGGGTTTTTCTTCCATCAAGAGCTGTTCACACCTGCTGGAACAAACTACTTATTTCAGCATACAGTTTTATGTTTTGCCACGTGAAAAAGATTGAGAGTAAACTTTTAGAACCATGAGCAAAGCCTATCAGTTGTTACCTACAGTTGATAAATAAAACAAATTGTAATACTCTTATAATAATACTAACTTATACAGACAATGAAGTTGGTAGGTGCTTTGTGGAAAAATGAAGCAGGGAAGAGAGCTAAGGAGTGGTTTATTTTAAATACGGTGTCAGGCCTCACCGAATGAAAGTGAAGACTTTAGAGATTTGAAAGAGGCTGAGACAGGAAGCTCTATTCCTACCTGGGGAGAACTTTCCAAGCAAAGGAAACAAGAAATACAAAGAGACTGAGTGAGGTGGGCATGGTGTGTTTGAAGGAGGACCAGCAAGGCCAACAGTATGACTTGAGCAGAGCAAATGAGGAAAGTCAAATATAAATTCTGAGTGTTACCTGGGGAAGGAATTCAGAGAGATAGGGCTTTTAGCACACTGCGAAGGTTTTGGTTTTACTCTGATGGAGATGGAAAACATTTTAAAGTCTATTTTTTTTCACTTGACTTACATTTTAACAGTGTCACTGGCCACTGATTTAAGACTGGAAGGAAACAGAATGGAAGCAAGAGACTACTGTCATAATCAAGGTAAGAGATGGTGGACTGGAACAGGAGGTAGTGATGAAAGTGGTATCAAGTTGTTGGATTCCTGATATATTTTGAAGGTAGCCAATAGGATTTGCTGAGGGAATGTATGTGGAGTTTAAGAAAAAGAGAGATGCACTGCATGTATATGAATATCGAGAAATCCATATTTATATATATTCAAAACAAAAAAAAAGAAAAAGAGAGATGCAGTTATTTTATTAGCATTGAAATGATTCAAATAGCATTTTAAAAAATATTAAAAGTGTTTTACTTTTAGATGGACTTTGATCTGCTAAGTAGGAAACTTTATGATCCAAAATAAGCAAAACAAGTACCTGTGACAGAAATGTTCCCTATCTCTAGAGTGGTGGTGGTCAAGCAGGTATATGCACTTGTCGAAATTAATTGAAGTTAAAATGGATGCATTTTATTGTGTGTATATTGTACCTCAATAAATTTGGTCAAACAAAAGAGAAAAAAATCATTTATCTCTACTATCCAACGCATGCACTTTGCTTTTCTCTTTTCCACTTTTTTCTCTATATTCTTTCAAACCATTCTTCTTGTGTACTCCTGAGACTACCATAGGTATACAAAATATAGCAAAATACTGCTTACAAGTATTTCTCTATTGCAGACTTATCCAATTAGTATATCACCCAGGATAGATTTTTAGACTAGCTCTCCATCATCAGTACATTGTGTGTCAAATTTCTGGTAAAATGAAGCCATAGATTCCACTAAGCAAACACTCACATACAACTCATTCATTCATTCAGTAAACATCTACTTGCAATTGTGAGCCAGGTCTGCAAGATAATTCCAGAATTATTTTGTTCCATGCCTAAAGAAGAATAGGAAATGTTTGATTAACAAAAGTATTTCTTTTACTGTATTTGCTTTTTAGAATCATGAAAATATTCAAAAGTTTTGAATCTCCAAAAAGGGAGCTGATCTTTTTCTGAGAGATTTCCACTTTGTTATTTTACCATTTTCACAATGATTAAAAAACAAAACTAGGCCGGGCGTGGTGGCTCACGCCTGTCATCCTAGCACTCTGGGAGGCTGAGGCGCACGGATTGCTTGAGCTCAGGAGTTCGAAACCAGCCTGAGCAAGAGCAAGACCCCATCTCTACTATAAATAGAAAGAAATTAATTGGCCAACTAATATATATAGAAAAAATTAGCTGGGCATGGTGGTGCATGCCTGTAGTCCCAGCTACTCGGGAGGCTGAGGCAGGAGGATTGCTTGAGCCCAGGAGTTTGAGGTTGCTGTGAGCTAGGCTGGCGCCACGGCACTCACTCTAGCCTGGGCAACAAAGTGAGACTCTGTCTCAGAAAAAAAAAACTATCTACAAAGAAAAATTAGTGGTTACCTGGAACTACCATGGAACTGAATGTCATACAAATAGGCAGGTGGGATCCCTTGGGGTAATGGGTACACAACTCTGTACATTTACAAGTGAATTTTATACGTAAGCTGTACCTTCGTAAAGCTGCTTTTTAAAAAAGTTGATTATCATCCTCCAGGAACTGGATTTTATGAAAAAATAAAATTTTAAAACATGATATCAATTCAGGGCAACTGGCAAAATCTAGTTTAAGACCTCTAAATTAGATAATACTATATCAATGTTCATTTCCTGATTTTGATCATTGTACTGTCATTAAATAAGAGTTGTGATAGTTTTTAGGTAACACACTTAAGTATGGGTTAAGGGGCATCATGTCTATAATTTTCTAGCAAAATATTTCAGAAGAAAACTGGAGAGAAAGAGGAGGATAAGCAAATTGGTAAGATGTTAACATTTGAGGAATCTGGTTCAAAGATTTTTGAGAATTTTTTGTACTATTCTTGCAAATTTTTTGTAAATTTGAAATTTACAAAAAAAATTTTTTTAAAGCAATAATTTTGGATAGTGGAAATATTCTTCCCTTTATTTTCTGGATATTTCAAATTTTTAAAAAAGGAAGAGAAGCTATTTAAGAAGCTTTAAGAAGGAATCAAAACCTCCTTTCGTGAATGGTAGTGGTAGTATTAGAAAAGACAAGCAGAAAATTTAAAAAGTACGCAGAACATTTCTACAAAGATGTTAAGATTCATCAATTACTTTTGCCTCCAAAGCTATAAAATAATCAAAATAATTTTTCCCCAAATCATGTATAAATGAGAAAAGTAAACTGCTAATTTGTTTGTGGACAGAAAGATAACTTAACTTGAAAATTCCAAATTCCTATCAGGTCTGAAGTAGTTACCCAATGTTAACATGGACTAATCATTAAAAAATATATCCACCAGCCTAAGCAAGACCCCATCTCTACAAAAAATAGAAAATTAGCCAGGCATCGTGGTACGTGCCTGTAGTCCCACTACTGAGAGCTGAGCAGGAGATCACTTGAGCCCAGGAGTTTGAGGTTGCAGTGAGCTATGATGATGATGCCACTGCAGTCTAGCTCAGGTGATGGAGCGAGCACCTGTCTCCAAGAAAAGAAAAGAAAAGAAAAAAATATATATATACATATATTGTGTGTGTGTGTGTGTGTGTGTGTGTGTGTGTGTGTGTGTGTGTGTCCCCAGAGCCTCAGTGGAATAAAAAGGCAGCAAACCACAAAATATAAAAACTAGTTAAAACCACTGTTAATACACGGTGCCTATATGCAACAGTAGGACAACAGCAACATTTTTTTCCTAAAACTCTTTTGGTACTCTACAGGAGGTGGGAGAAGAACCCATTTTGCAATCAAAGAAAATCTGGTACCCCCTAAAAAGATGATTTAATAAAAATATCAACATTTTTATTTACTTCTGTTTATAATAGTCTTCATCATACATTATCATTTAAACTCCCAAATCACCTGATGTAGATTTTTATTATTCTTTTTACAGATGACGAAGCTAACTTGTCCAAGGGCACACAATAAGTGGGTGGAGACTCCCAGGTCCCCACCACCCTGAAATGACCAATTCAAGGGCTGTTTTCACTGTACAGCCTCTGTACATTGTACAACACCTCTTTCTAGTAATAACATATCAATACGAAAGGAACTTCTCAAGAAATTTTGATTTTGTTTATAAAAGTCTATTCAGAATATATTGGAAGGAATGGTAAGAGTGGGGTTAGGCTCTTGCACTTCACTGAAAATTCGTAAATAACAGATATCAATTAATATGGACTTAAACACTTATTATATATTACCTGGATACCATACTAAGGATTTTATAAACGCTTTTCTCAATTAACCCCAACCTCAATAACCTATAAAGTAGACACTATTACGATCTTCACTGTACAGGTGAAGAAAACCAATGCCTTAAGAAAAGTTAAATGAATTAGAGTATTATAATATGTACTTGAATCATGAGATCATGAGGAACTGATGACCAGCTGTATGGCTTTCTAGGCCTCTGAAGGTTTTTAAAAATAATTGTTGAGGCCAAAGGTTCTGGTTGCTTGTGCCCATTGGGCGGTGGTGGGAAACTTTAATGGTTGTAAGAAGAAAGCAAAGCAATCAACTTGTAACTGAATGGATACCCTGCCAGCATGTTGTAAATTTTACTGTATTCGAGCTAACTGACGCTATCTTCTTCTGTAAATAGCTTGCTTTGATATAGTTCTTGTGCAGGGGCTCCTGCCATCTGGAAAGAACATGATAAAATGTAGAAAACAACACCTTCACTTATATGCCTCTAGTCACCTAGCCCCCAACCCAAAATAGCATGAAAGCTTTCTGCCGTCATGGCTGGGCACTGTTCCCTGCAGGAACAGTCACTGGCCAGTTAATTAAAGCTCGCAAATTCGATTCAATCTGGACTCGTGGTCTTTTCTCGCACTCCACACCATAACAATAACCTTTAAAAAACTGGAGCTCAAAAGACAATACAAAATTGTTTATACACTACTGCCAACTACCTAAGACACAGTACTTCACACTAGAGCGGTCTGGTGCAGGAGAAGTCCAATCTCTTCCCTCCTTTTTGGTCGGCTCCATTTTGCTCAGTATCAAGATGGCATTTCCTTGGCAATATAAATCCATACTACATAACTTCAAAATAATCTTCATACTCTTAGATCTGTTTTGAAAAACGTATTTAAAAAGTAATATTGAAGACCAAAGAAGAAAGAAATAACGTTTCAACGTGGAGCTCGGTCATGGCTTGGAAGGAATGCGGTGTAGTTTACTGCATCCTCCAGTGCGGAAAGGGGGCAGGACCACGACGCTCATCACAATCTGAGGCCGGCCAAGAGGGGGCTAAAAAAGGTAGGCGTCAGCTGAATTCTGGGATGGGGGGTCAGTTCACCTGGTGGCAGGCCACAGATGACCAAGAGGAGGGGAAAGAAATCCGTGGGTGCCCAGCACCTCGCTAAAAAAGGGTGGGTGCTGGCTGACTTCCGGGCAGAGCCTGCGACGAGTGTGTCCTGGGCCCGGAAACTTGACCGTGGGGCTCCACGATCTTGGGTAGTAAGGGGCTTTAGGACAAGAATCTTTGTCCTAAAGCCCCTTATTTCTGTTTCTGGTAAATGAAGAAGGAACATCAGCATAATACTAACCAGTTTCTTGGTTAGGTGCATCAGCATA